AAACTTTTTTTTTTTTTGTTATCCTTAAAGGAAACACAAATGCAATTGGGTATGTTGTCTATGCTATCATAAACAAATAGTTTTCATAGTCGTTTACGGTGTAAGAGTTTCGTGTGAAAATGTGTAAGATTGGCAATTTGGAAAGCGTACGTATTTATTGAATATTTTATGGAAAGTGTTTTATGTAAATATGCTGGAAAAATTAAAAAATAAAAAAATAAATAAAAAAAACTAATATATTTCTAGTCGCCAATAAAGAATTATTTTTATCAACGATTCAAACATTTAGATAGAGTTTATAAGAATTAGAGAATCCTATCGAGATTAGCCACATTTAATCTCTATCCATTGCCATCTTGCAAAGGCTTTCTTCACTGTATGCCGCATTAGTCTCTTATGCTGCGCACTGCACTTGCTTGTGTTTCTTTGACAGCATGCGAAACGGCGTGAACAAGTGAAGGGAAGGCTGGTGCTTCACTTTCGCTTTGCCGCTGGAGACGGCGCCAGCAAAACTTTTAAATTGGTTGGCAACACTTGCCACACTCACAGTCACACTCACACTCAYACACACACGCACGCACACATGTACACAAGAGCGCAATGACAGTCGCTTCACACAGATGCATGTTTGTTTTGGAAATGAATTTGGAAAATTTTGTGCCCGGCTCTGCGCGAAAAGCGAGCGAAAAAGCAGCAGAAAAGCCATAGCCGTAGCCGTAGCCGTAGTCGTTGCCGTAGCCATAGCCAAAGCGAAAGCCAATCCAGGCGAGGCACACGACTGCGAGCAGCGACTAAACGTAATTTGCCAGCAAATCATTGGAAAAGCGTTGAGAACAGCAAGAGTAAAGCGAAATGGCAACAGCCGCCGAAAAGTATGCATTGGTAAATGTGATACATAAATACAGACATGCACATGAATGTGTGGGGGCGAGTGGGCGTGTGGGCGTGGGTGCGTGCATGTGTGTGACTACCCCTCCGGGTGCGGGTGCGGGTGCGAGTGGGTGTAAAAGCCACTAAAGTGAAATGCATTTATCGACCGCAAAGCGTTCGAAATGAAATCTGTTTAAGGGATTTTAATACCCTGGCGAACGTGCTGCCAGTGTGTGAATGTCGAAAGGGCGATGGGTGTGTTTCTCTGTGTCTGTGTGTGTGTGAAATAAGGACAGGCAGGCGAACACAAAAAGTCAATGAATTCGTTTGGCGAATTGAAAAATTAATTCAGTTGCCGTTGCTGGCGTCGATAAGTAGAAGAAAACGAAAACTTTACACGCTGCCGCTCACTTCATGTGTCTTGAACTTTGTCTGTATGTGTGTGTGTGTGCTTGTGAGTGAGAGCTTTTTACTTACTAATGATTTCTCATTTCGCTTACGGTATTTCTGTGTTATTTGCGCTTTTTGTCTTACTCCGCGTTTTACAGCAACCATCGAGCCAACGAACCACCCCCTCGGCCGGGCAGGCGGGGGTGCGGGTGGTCGGTCTGCCTTGTAAGCTCGGGAACAGAGGCCAAATTACTCACTGCCGTTGTTGTGGATTTTCCTCATTTTCTTCGTTTTGCTCGCTAGCAACAACAGCAGCAGCAGAAGCAGCAGCAGAAGCAGCAGCAGCAGCAACAACAACAACAACAACAACAACAGTAACAACAAACAGCAAACGACGAGAAGGAAATTAAGCAAAAAGCGCAAAGATTTATTTCGCTTTGATCAAAATTAAATGAATTGATTTTAATACGCCCCGTGGGCAAGATATTTTCTACGTTGGCCAAATGAAAACGCATAAAAAAGGTGCCGCTGCCGCTGTTGCCGCTGCCACTGTTGCTGCTGGTCGTGGGCGTTGAACGATATATACCATTGCCATGGGCGTGGCAGCAGCCTTGGCTTGCCTCGCATTCCAATCGAGCGTGTTGTGTGTGGCCTCTTTAAGCTGTTCGGTTCGACCAGCTCTGCTTAAGCAGCGCACAA